CGGCACAGTGCGCCGGCCATAGCAGCCATTTGAGGTGTGAACCAACGGAAGGAAGACCTTTCTCTCTGTCTCTCTCTCTCACTGTCTAACTCTGCCTGTCAAAAAAAAAAAAAAAAAAAAAAAGACACACACACATCCCATATAGAAGTGCCTGGGTGTGAGTCCTGGTTCCGCTCCTGACTCCAGCTTCCTTCTAATGCAGCCCCTCGGAGGCAGCAGGGATGGCGCACGTGGCTGGGTCATGTGGGAGACCGGGATTGTGTGGTGAGACGCTGCATATGTTTCTCTGTCTTTCCGTATGGCAATGAACTCTCTCCAGGCAAGATCCTTGCTCTCCTCCCCTTTGTACACCCAGTGATGACCCAGGCCTTGGCTGGTGTTCAGAGTAGAGGAACTGAGCTAACAGGAGGGCCAGGGACCCTTCAGAACCCCCAGAGAACAAGGGTGCCCGCAAAGGGAGTCATCCTGTGTGATCATTAAGCAGGAAATCCCAGTTGGGCCCAAAATCTGTGTTTGGGAGAGAGGTGGAGAATCCTGGAAATGGTACCAGCCCGAATCTGCTCAGTCAGGCCCCAGTCAACCATGGGGAGTGGAGGCTGCTGTCCCTACACAGGGGCCAACTGGTCAGACAGTTCTGCTCACCCTCTCTTGGCTTGGTCTTTGGTTTCTGATAAGAGTTCCTTAAGAGAAGAAGTAAAAATGGAGAAACAAAGAAAGGAGCATGGAAGGGAGATGGGGAAGAGAGGAAGGAAGGAACGAGAGAAGGGAAGGGAAGGAAGGCAGCTTTGTCCCAGGACGTTAACAAGAAAGGAGTTTCTCCTTTGCAAGCTACATTCAAAGACATAAGGGTATCTCCGTGCCCCTGGGACCAGATCAACTTCTCCCCCAGAATCAGCGGCGTGGAGGGTTGGTAGTGGGGGACTTAGAGCTGGAGCAGAGCTGGGCCAGCAGCAGGTGTTGCTGGATGCTCCCCTTTTAGCTAATGTCCTTGCAGCTGCTGGCCTGAGTTTTTGATTAGCCACTGTTTTTATCTTATTTGTGCTGCTGCTTCCCAACCTTAGCAGGCATGGGAATGTGCATCTTTTTTTTTTCTCCTGTTCTGCTACGAAGGAAGCCCAGGCAGATTCGGAAAGGGTAGCACTAGAATCAGAAGTCAAGTGGACAGTTGCACCTTGCAGAACTTCAGCATGTCCCGCCAGATTTAACAAGATCCCCTCTATAAGACATTCATTGCTGTAATCCCATGGCTGGGCTACAGGCGATTCAGTGTAAAGAAACACTCATAGGCTGGTGCCACGGCTCACTAGGCTAATCCTCCGCCTAGCGGCGCCGGCACACCGGGTTCTAGTCCCGGTCGGGGCGCCAGATTCTGTCCCGGTTGCCCCTCTTCCAGGCCAGCTCTCTGCTGTGGCCCGGGAGTGCAGTGGAGGATGGCCCAAGTGCTTGGGCCCTGCACCCCATGGGAGACCAGGAAAAGCACCTGGCTCCTGGCTCCTGCCATTGGATCAGCGCGGTGCGCCGGCCGCAGCATGCTGGCTGCGGCGGATATTGGAGGGTGAACCAATGGCAAAGGAAGACCTTTCTCTCTGTCTCTCTCTCACTGTCCAATCTGCCTGTCGAAAGAAAGAAAGAAAGAAAGAAAGAAAGAAAGAAAGAAGGAAGGAAGGAAGGAAGGAAGGAAGGAAAGAAAGAAAGAAAGAAAGAAAGAAAGAAAGAAAGAAAGAAAGAAAGAAAGAAAGAAAGAAAGAAAGAAAGAAAGAAAGAAAGAAAGAAAGAAAGGAAGGAAAGAAAGAAAGACTCGTGCATTTGCTCAAGGTCTCAGGCAGGCGCTGAAGCAATCCCTCTTCCAATTTCTGAGTCATTCTGAGGGTAGCAGATGCAGAGGCTCAGCTTGGGTGTAGGGTCCACCCCACACCTCCCACTGCCCTTGGCATGGGCCCCACTGGATGGGCCATGGAGGTGGTGCTCTATGGCAACAGTTTTTCTTCAGCAGAGGAAGGGGGAGATGTGTTCTCCTGTATCCCATGTTCAGTCTGTTCTGTGGGCAGAGTGCTGGGAACAAACTCAGCCCGAATCCTCCCCAGCCTGCCAGTGGGTGAAGGGGCAGCAGGCTTCGCCTTGGGCTCCTGATCCTAGGGAGAGGGGCATTTGGCTCTTCCTTCTGCCTCCTGCCTAGGGAATCGCACTCCTGTGTTTCAGGAGTTTCTGTGAACTTCTAAAAAAATACAGCTGTAAAACATGTTACTTCCAGAATGTTCTTTCTGACACCTAACATGAGCTCACTGTGCTGTAAGCAAAGCTTATTTTATTTTGGCTGGCCCAGAAGTGGAAAAGGTGTGTGGCTGATACAATAACCTTTCACAAAATTGAGGCCCTCTTGGACTTATCTTCTTCAAGAAGAGTTTGGATTTCCTTAACCTTTTATCGTAGCCTTATTGCAAACAAATCTTTAATTATCTTTCTCAATTTTTTTCTTTGAACCCTTTCCAAAACATGTCTTGTGCATTACGGAGACCAAAACTTAATTAGATCTCTCATTTTTAGAGGATACCCTTAGTGCCTCAGAAGAAACAAATGAAATTTGAGTTGGATATATTTCATGAAGGAGGGGCATAGAAAAAAGAAATTGCATGCTTTATATAAATAGCACATTGTCTTGCCATAAATGAGTTTTCCTATTTCCAATTGTTTTTAGAACAATGAGTCCCTTTTTTTGGTGAATTGAATCCCCCAGAGATCCCAGCCTCTGACAGATCGTGGTTTGCGTTCTTTTGTGGGAGCAAGGTTTCCGTGCGGAAAAGCACGAGGTGTCTAGCAAGCAGGCAGAGACAGACGGGGCTGCAGCTCGCACCAATTAAGCACCTTGTCAAGGTGGGGGTGACATGTGGGTTTCTCTGTTGTCGCTCCTGGCCTTTTGCGTACCAGCTTCTGTTCCAAGGGGACCCAGGAGCCTGTCTGACTTCTCCATGACTTCATTTACTGTAAGTGGCCTTGTCTTTTCCAGGGCTGTTCTCATTCGCAGGATGGATTTCTGGTCCTGATCATTTGGTCCCGGTGCTCGGGTTTCTACAGGGGAAAAGGAAGATCTTTGACTTCTCTTTCGGCTGTGGAACCAGGCGACAGGGCCTGGCCTCCCCTCCTCCATCACCTTAGCCCAGCTGCCTTCTCTACGTCTTTCCCCCCTGAGTTTTCCCTTGTGTCAAACAAGGAAATGAGACTCTCTGAGGGCCCTCCCCACCTGACCCTGTGATTTTAATAACTCTGACGGCTCCACAGGGAAGTAGGGAAAGGACGGAGGAGTTGGGCTCAGCAGCCTGTCGGGATGAGGACGCCTGCAAAGAGTGTCTGGTCAATTTGAAATCTCGCCCTTCTCCTCTCCCTCCCAAGGGCCCTGTGTCAGTGTGGTTTACAGGGAAGAGCATGACCATTTGTGGATTATCTACAATGTGTTAGGCCCTGTCCAAGGCTCCTGTTGTTCATCATTTTATTTAACGTTTACAGTTCACTGAGGGTAGATGTACTGGGGGCTCCACCCCCACAGATCCAGATAAGCAACATCCTTCAGGTCTCACTTTTTTTTTTTAAGATTTATTTATTTATTTGAAAGTCAGAGTTACACAGTGAGGGGAGAGGGAGAGAGGGGGGGGGGGGTCTTCCATCCAATGGTTCATTCCCCAGTTGGCCACAGTGGCCGGAGCTGTGCCAATCCGAAGCCAGGAGCCAGGAGCTTCCTCCAGGTCTCCCATGTGGGTACAGGGGCCCAAGGACTTGGGCCATCTTCTGCTGCTTTCCCAGGCCACAGCAGAGAGCTGGATGGGAAGTGGAGCAGCCGGGACTAGAACTGGTGCCCATATGGGATGCCAGTGCTTCAGGCCAGGGCATTAACCCACTGCACCACAGCACCGGCCCCTCAGGTCTCACTTGAAATGCCCCTTCCTCCATGCAGCCTCTCTGGCCCCTTAAACCAAGTTAGATCGCCCTGTCCTATGTTCTAATGGTTCCCTGTGCTTCTCCTCCATTGCACTTACTACCAATGTCATTAAATAATAATAATAATAATGAGCCGTACAAGCTCATTAATGCCTGCTTGACTGAAAATCCCATGAGGACAGGGATCGTGTAAGTCTTATTCATTACTGTATTCCCAGAACCCAGCACAGTGCTAGCAAAATCATTGAGATCTGAAAGGTGATTACGGAATAAACGTAAGCATGAATGAATGAAAGCGTGGATGAGTAGCAAAGCCAGATGCAAACCCAGAACTAGCTGGCTCTTGGTGACTTTTCTAAAAAGTTCAGAACTTCCCTTGTAGGCTTGTGCACAAGGTCCCCTGATCCACTGCTAGGAGGGCTTTGAGCCGTTTCTCCGGACATGGGATCGGGAGCTTCTCCACTCTGGTCGGACTCTTTCCCCCGGTACTACTCGTGCCCAAACCTGTCTGGAAAATAGTTAGACACAATAGATCCACCTTGGGGTTATTATTGCTGCTGCTGCTGCTGTTGCTGAGGGAGAGGTAGAGGGAGACGGTGAGCTGATCCAAACCCAGCTGTCCTGGTGGGCATTCAGCCCCTTGTCTCAATAACCAGCAGCACCACTGCCAAACCCACTCTGTCTCAGGGCTGCAGACAAGAATCCGCCCTGTAAGGGGATCTGGGTCAGTAGGAAGGAGTGGGTGAAGAGGAAGGAAGAAAAACCAAGACGTGAACCTTTGAGGGAAGCAAAAATAAAACTCTAATGTGAAAACCGCTGAAAGTAGACTTCATGGGTTGTTGGGCTACATGCAAATCCAATGCTAATAACATGGAAATTAATTACAAGTCCTAACTTCCGTGTGCCTTGATCTGGCCCTTGAGGGGAAGCCTGCCGCTGGGGTCTCCCCTGCATCAGGGGAACACGAGTGGACTATGGCTTTGATGGTGCCTCCTTCACGCTCAACTCTTGCCACTGCAGGGAGAGGAAGCTAAAAATACTAATAATAGAATTTTGCTTTCTTCTTCCAGACAAAAAGCCTTGGCATCCACAGGAGGAAGAAGTGTTCAGGCGGCGTGTGACTGGTTGGTATGAAATAAATAAATAGAGAAAAGAGCATGTAATTAGCTGTGAGTGTGTGTGGATGAGTGGGGGTGTGCAGTCTTTGTCTAAGGGACCCTTAGACAGGGGGAGGGGAGATGAACCCAAGACTGTGCTATAAGCCCTGGATCCAGGGTGTGCTTCTCTCTGGAGCTGTGTGAAGAAATCCAGTCTTTCCAAGAGAACCCTTCTCCCAGCATCTGCCCCCTCCGGCCACTTACAAATTCACTATAGGTGTGGGGATGCTGGGAAAGTGAGCCTAGGAGAAGACCCACTCACCTTCCAGGACAGCACTACCCAGGGCGGCCTTCCTGGGGGCTTCTCTTATCTCTGAAGGTGCACGGGTTTAATCTCAGACTGAACTGGGCCACAGCATGCCTTGGAACTGCACTAGCAGCAGGAAAGGATTTAGAGTTTATCCGAGGATGCTTCCTGGAGAGCAGCTCTGGGCTCTTTTTAGGGAGGTGTGGGATGAGGAGCCAACGACAACCAGCAGAACAGAAGTTGTGCATCTGAAAGTTGGTTACCCCTTCATGAAGGGGTAGATCTTAAAAGCCCGAATGCAAACCCATCCGGGCGCAATGCGGGTTGTGGAACACGAGGATGGTGGTTCTGTCTCGTGCAGTTCTTCCTTCCCTTCATTATGTCAAGCGAGGCTTCCATGGTTAATCTTCCAGGTTGTTCTCCCACGTCGGCGACCCCTTCCTGGATGACCCCCTGCCCCGGGAATATGTCCTCTACCTCCGCCCCACCGGCCCCTTGGCACAGAAGCTGTCGGACTTTTGGCAGCAGTCGAAGCAGATCTGCGGGAAGAACAAGGCACACAACATCTTCCCCCACATCACTCTCTGTCAGTTCTTTATGGTGAGTAGCTGTCCCCCACCCTCCAAGGAGCCTGGCTGCCAGCATCCTAGCTGGCTTCTCAGGACCTGGAGCAAGACTTAGCCATTCAGGAGAGGGGCAAAACAGTCAGGGGCTCCCAGGCCTGGAGGGACCTCCCTGGGATCCATTGGTCCTGGGATCCCAGGGACCTCCCTGGGATCCATTGGTCCAGGGTAGGTCTCACTTGCATTCCTCTTTCTTTACATCTGCTGAGCCTCTTCTCCCAGGTTTGCTGTAGTAGTAGGGTGACCATGAGCTCCTAGGGATCAGCCAGGACTCTGAGTGGCACATGGGTCAGCAGCCAGAATCATCCTCTGGCTTCACCCTATCATCTGCCCTCTCCACTCTTTGGAATAAGGGAAGAGTAGAAGCTAAGAGACAGCCAGGAGCCAGCAGTGTCATCTATAGGTAGGAGATGCATTGCTGGCCTTACGGCTTTTCCCCAATAGATCTTTCTAGAGAAAGCCAACATCTCTTTCACCTGTCGCAGTTCCCTGGTCTGTAATCTGAGCTGTCAGAAAGCTCATTCAATGACCAAATTAAATCCTCCTCACTGTAATTAGTGTGAATGCATTGCATCTACTTGGGCTCTCCACGCTCACAGAAGAGGAGTTGATTTACCCACACACATTCAAGACAGAGCAGAACGGTGGCACTTTAAGACAATTTTTGAAAAATATGTTGCTTTGTTTTTTCCAGATGTACTACATCTCTCGCTCGCTTGCTCACTGCTAAGTTAAAAAAAAAAAATGTTCCTAACACCTTCTCTTTTGCCATTGACTATGAAAATTAAAGTGATTAGCACTTCCTCTTAGTCATCCCAGGATCCTTCTCAAAAACACTCAGAGTTTTCGAGATGCTCATTGTTTCTTCAGTGTGCTGAGGAGGGGAGGAGGTTGTCCCAGCTCCCTGAGCCTCCTTCTCCCCAAGCATCGTGGGGGCGGGAGAAGAGACAACTTTTGATCACCTCAGAGGAACAGAAAAAGTACAAATGGCGCAAAACAACACAAAACACACAGCAATTTATCCTGGGAGGCTGGGCGGCTTCCTGTCACGTCCTCCTCCTGGTTTTTGTTTGCTTGCTTCAAAGTAAAGAGAACTTGTTTTTTAATTGACAAATAAGAACCATATAGCTATATAATGGGAGATCCATGGAAAATGGAATTAAAAGATAATTCAGGAGCCAGCATTGTGGTGAAGCAGGTTAAGCCACTGCCTGCAACCCTAGCATCCCAATATGGGTGCCAGTCCATGTCCTGGTTGCTCCACTTCCAACTCAGCTCCCTGCTAATGCATTTAGGAATGCAGCAGCAGATGACCCAAGTCCTTGGGCCCCTGCACCCATATGGGAGATTCGGATGAAACTCCTGGCTCCTGGCTTCAGCCTGGCCCAGCCCCAGTCATTGCAGCCATTTGGATAATGAACCAGTGGATGGAAAATATCTCTCTCTCTCTCTCTCTCTCTCTCTCTCTCTCCCCACACACACACACCTCTGCATCTCTCTCCTTTTCTCTCTCTGCCTTTCAAATAAATAAAATAAATCTTTAAAAAATATATAATTCAGTGGCAGGCATTTAGCCTAGAAGCTAAGATGCCCTCATCCTATATCAGAGAGCCTGGTAGCCAGAGATGCCTGGCTCCAGCTTCCTGCTCATGCAGACCCTGGGAGGCAGTGGCAATGGCTCAAGCAGTTGGGTCCCTGCCTCTCATACAGGAATCCCGGATTGAGTTCCCAGGTCCCGGTTTCACCCCAAGCCAGTCCCGGCTATTGAAAACATCTGGAAAATGAGCCAGAAGACAGGGGAGTGCTCTCGCTCTCTCTCTCCCTCTCTCGCTCTCTCCCTCTCTCTCTCCTACTTCTCAAATAAATAATTTCTTTTTTAAAAAGATAGTGCATGTTTTCCATGAACTTTTCAAAGTCCTGTTATATTTATGATGTACAACATAATGGTTTGATATATGCATGTTCTGTAGAATGGCTAGATCAAGCTAATTAATATGTACTACCTCATCTGCTTATTTGTGGTGTAAAAAAAATTAAAATCTACCCTCTTAGCAGTTTTCAGGTGTGTGCAGTACATTGCTATTATCTGTTATCACCAGAGTGTGCAACAGCTCTCCCGAGCTGCTCCTAACTGGCATTGTGTGGCCTTGGACCAGCATCTCCCCGTCCCTTTCCTTGTCTTCTGCTGGACCAGTCAGTCGTTCCGTATTGTTAGGGGGCCCAAAGGGCTGAGCTCAGAGTAGGGACGGAGGGAGAGGGTGGTGCTTTCCCGGTGTAGGTCCCAGTTGGGTCAGTTGGAGCCTGCAGCCCTCCTGCCTCCTCACAGACAGTAGGGACAGTTTAGCGATTGCACCATCAGCCTGCAGTCTCTCGGCGGAAGATGCCCAGTGTCTCACAAACACCTGCTTGTTTTCACCTGCCAGTGTGAGGACAGCAAGGTGGACGCGCTGGGGGAGGCCCTGCAGACCACGGTCAGCCGCTGGAAGTGTAAGTTCTCCGCCCCGCTGCCCCTGGAGCTCTACACCTCCTCCAACTTCATCGGTCTCTTCGTGAAGGAAGACAGCGCCGAGGTCCTCAAGAAATTTGCTGCTGACTTTGCTGCGGAGGCCGCATCCAAAACCGGTGAGCCCGCGCGGCTGCCAGCCCAGCCCTGCACATTGATAACCAAAGAGTTCAGAAGGGAAGGGCCGAGAAGTCATTGTGGGGGAGCGAGCTGGAGGCTGGAGGTACAGACAGGGTCCTGCAGAAATGGGCACTCGCACTGAGACACGCAAGCCACAGCTCCTGGCTCGCTTGTAAAAACACTAAAACTCCTGTTCCTCTAACCTGGACAGACTGTCCAAGGCTTACTTAACCCTAACAGCTGAAGGTACACAGACAACCGATCACGTTGAAGGATCCTCCAAGTTCAGAATCAAGGACTGCCCTTTTCTTCTGAAAATCCCACCCAGGCAGGTGCAAAGCCGAGCCTCCCCATTGACCCCGTGAGGACCCAGGGCTTTGCTCAGGGCATGGCATTGGACAGAGAGGAGATTGAAACCCTTCCTATTAAATCATAATAAAATCCATTGAGCCAATATCTATGAACTTGCTGAATCAGACAGGCCCCTAAGCCTCAAAAGACAGTCCCCAAACTCCATCCCTTGAAGATGTCCCTTGCTCTTGTCTTATAAAGACTTGGTTCAAATCAACTAAAATTGCCTATCACTGGAATAGCTCCTGGGGTGGGGGTGGGGGGGTGAAGAGGAAGAGCTTGTAGGGCTGACCTGTCTGACCCAGGGGCAGAGAGCTCACTGTGTCCACTGAGACCCTTATGCTGTGGGACACACAGACAATCCCTGGGCAGCCCCCTCTAGAATGGAAGCGCAACCAGCAGGCATCTACAGGGCACCTATGATGTGTTTATCCACAAGGAATTCAACCGAGAAGAAGGTAAGAAGTCGTTTCTGGTGAGCAGGGGCACGGTTGGGAAGCCCTGTGTACTTGCAGAGCGCTGGGAAGAGATAAGCTATGGCACGTACAGAAGAGGAACTGGGAAAATGGAGGCAGGAGCCTTCCGGGGGTGGGCAGCAGGAGGACAGCCCGGGAGCAGAGGAAGTGGGCACCGTGCGAGCGGCACATGGAATGCAAAGCAGGAGGGGACCCGGGGCCTGCCCCCACCCGTGATTCTGGAGAGGGGCGAGAGCAGAACAAAGACAGACGATTGGCTCCTCGCTGCCCCAGCTCTTGGTGCACGCATTCCCTGCCATTGCCTTACTGCTGTTTATTGCCCACTTGGACCCTTGGGCTTTGCGTTCCTCCTTTTGTGAAAAGCACGGCGTGGGGCTCAGGACCCTGTGAGTGGGGTTGGGGCCCAGCATCACTGCAGGACGACGGAGGGGTCTCTGTGCTCAGGAGCTCCAGGCCCTTACGAAGCCTTCTGTACTTGAGACAGACTTCCTTAGCCCACCCCACCCAGGCACCCCTTCTCCCACAGGGACCGCTCGCTGCTCTCTGACTTGAGTGCAGCCTGACATTTCAAACGGGCAGAATAGCAGAGAAATAACATAATAGGCAAATGATTTCCTGTTCTTATCCCTCAACCTCGAGGAAATGACTTGTTTTCAACCCACAGTAGCCCCTGTCAGAACCACTACATCTCCACGAGAACCGGAACTGGTGTTGTAGCCACAAAACCCAAATCCTCACAGATCAGATGGGCAGGTCTCAGCCAGGATTCCTGCAGGTTCTGAGAGTACAAGTGGGCTAACGGGCAGCCAAAGCCCCAGCTTTCCAATAGGAAAGGGGGAAAAGCCAACCTCGCTCCAAAAATCTCTTCATCGCTCTGCTTTTGTGACGCCCCCTGGTGGTGACGTGGAGAACTGGGCAGCTCTGCCCGCTAAGGCCGATCTGAATGTGAACAGCAGGTCATCGGGTCTTTGCCCTAGAATTTCTGCTTGGTAATTGTGGAGTTGTTGGCACTCCCGTATTCCTTCAGAAAGTAGACCTAGTGTCATCCTCCGGTCTAGGTGGCATAAGAAGGTTTACCCATCTGTATTTGTTCATTTAACAAGTATCGAAAATGCTTATTATGGCATGCTGAGAAGAGGTAGACCATGAACAAGAGACCTGGCTCATGCAAGAGAAAAACGAATGCAGAGGAAAATGCAGCCTAAGAGAAAACCACTTAAAGCCACAGGCCCAACTTCTACTTGCATCGAGGCCACTAATTCTCCGTGGCACTTGCCCAGTCCCCTTAATTTCTCAAGTTCACTGATTTCTTCTAGATGCATCTTCTTTCCTTTCTCAGCTCACACAACAGAGTCTCCCTCATTTCAAAGACTAAAGACTGATAAAGACCATGCTCTCCTGGGGGTAGGTTTGTCTGTCTTGTCAGAGGTCTTGAATTAACAACCTGCACAAGTTCAGCCAGCAGTTCTCAACCAACAGTGGGTGTGTCCCCCAGGGACAGTTGGCAGTGTGTGGGGTCATTTTCAGTTGTCACAACTTGAGGTAGAGGGTTGAGGCCTCAAATGAGCAGAGGCCAGGGACACCGCTAACCACCCTATCATGCACAGCACAGCCCCCTTACAACAACCAACCATGTGGCCCCAGGGCTCCTGAGAAACCTTGTTTTAATCTTTGAAAATGTCTGTCTTTTCCCCTCATTTTTCTAATGATCCAGAAGCTAAGAGATCTGATTCAAATATTAGACAATGCAACCCTGGGAGTCGGTTTCTACAGGAGCTATCTCATCCCCTTAGGTCCCAGTGCCAGCGTCAGCTGTTGTGAGGAGGCGTCAGCCCAACAAGGGAGCACCCTCAGCCCATCCCAGCTCCTGCAGGAAAGTCACCTCTCAAACAGGGCACTGAGTCTGGCTCTGTCACCCACTCCCCCTGATTCTGCGGCTGTAAGGAAGACAGATTTTGTGTCACCAGTGGATTCTCTTCTTTGTTATTTAGGACCTTCGCCAACATTGCGGTGACTGGCACATCCTAGTAACTGACGTTTGTCTTCCTCCTTCCAGAAGTGCATGTGGAACCTCACAAGAAGCAGCTGCACGTCACCCTGGCTTACCACTTCCAAGCCAGCCACCTACCCACCCTGGAGAAGCTAGCCCAGAACATTGATGTCAAACTCGGGTGCGACTGGGTGGCCACCATATTCTCTCGGGACATCCGATTTGCTAACCACGAGGTAATGTCTGCATGGCTCCCGAAGCTGCTGGGTGCAGGGCTGGAGTCAGAACCGGGAGTGAGTGCTTGCTGCTCACTGGTACAGGGAGACAGGCAGCAAGAGCAGCAGAGAAGCAAACACTTGGCCAGGGGGCAGGCAGCCAGAGTTTTGCACGGGCTGTGCCTGACTCACTGGGATGCCGTAAGCCTCCCAACTCTCTGGTCCCAAGGGTTCATCTGAGTAACATCTCCATGTTCTGTCTGCCAACCTGACTGGAGTAATAGAGAAATGAAGTTGAAGAAGAGATGACAAATATGTGGGAGAAACATTTGAATATTATGTAAACTCATGGTGTTAGTAGAAGACATCATCCTGACCTTAGGTGAGCTGAAGAATACACACACACACACACACAAATCCTATAGCTAATGATCCACAGATATTGGCTGAGTAGCTGTGGCATTTGAGACAACATGGAACCTACTAGAATTTTAAAATGTGATCCTGTCCTTAAGGAGATCAGAATTCGTGGGGGCGAGAGGACAGACATGCAAGAAAAGTGAACTTGGACGAACCACTGTGAGTCTGCATGTCATGGTGTCAAGAGAGCCCGACAGCTGTCCCCCACTGCAGGCAGGAACACTGGCATGATCCAAGCATCCTTCTTCCAAGGGAATCAGCTTTGCGCTCAAGCCAAGACGAAAAGAGATAAATTGGCCAACCCCAAGTGAAATAGCAATTTAGGACCACAGCTTAAGTCAGAGCCCAGCTATTTTGACCACTAAAGGTGGGCAACCCATGTAAACTAAGACCCCATACCATCACACCCCCTTATCTGCAGTTGTGTTTTCTGAGGTTTCAGTTATCTGTGGTCAAGCACAGTCTGGAAATAGTAAATGGAATGTTCCAGAAATAAATAATATATGTTTTTAAAGTTCTAGTTAACAGAACTTTGGCTCTTTTTTAACAAGATGTATTTATTTATTTATTTATTTATTTGAAAGGTAGAGTTACAGACAGAGGGAGAGACAGAGAGAAAGGTTTTCCATCCACTGGTTCACTACCAAATGGCTGCAACACTGAAGCTGGGTCAGTCTGAAGCCCGGAGCCAGGAGCTTCTTCCAGGTCCCCTGTGTGGGGGCAGGGGCCCAAGCACTGGCTTTCCCAGGCCATAGCAGAGAGCTGGATCTGAAGAGGAGCAGCCGGGACCTGAACTGGTGCCCATATGGGGTGCCAGCACCACAGGCAGCAACTTTACTTGCTACACCACAGCACCAGCCCCAATAATGTATAAGTTTTAAATAACTTCCGTTACAATTTTTGCCATAATTGTTCAATTCTTTTAGTAGATGTTGTTCATCTCTTACTGTGTCTGATTCATAATCTAATATCAGAGCTGTGTATGTATAGGAAAAATCCTAGTGTTTGTAGGATTCAGGACTATCTGTGGTTTCAGGAATCCTCTGGGGATCCTGGAATGTATCCCCCATGGATAAGGAGGACTACTGTAGTCCAGCGGAAAATTTGTCTTTCAGTTTAACTTTATTTGTTAAGTATTACTTACAGTTACTTCTCGGTTTTCCAACAGCAAATGAACGAATATTTTTGTTAGTTTACACAGCTTTTCAGCCTATCTTTCAGGGTTTTTTAAATATGAAAAACAGAATCTTAGGCTTGAGACAAGGCAACCTCATTGTCGTTTTGCAAGTGCTGGGAGAAGCCAATCCAGGAGTCAAAGGGGCAGGGCCGGGCGCAGCCCCACGTGAGCGTCCGGGACACGAGCTTTGCCCAGCTGTGCTGGTGTCATCTGACCCTTCCCCAGGACCCATCTGATTGCAGGTTTCTGTAGAGATGCATGAAGCAGTCTGTGTCTGGTCCTAAGAGTGCTGACTTCCAGAATTGTCTGAGATGAGCCCTAATGATGACAAGAGAGATGTCCACTGGACTCCTTGTGGAGGCAAAGTTTTAAAAGGCCAAGGTTGTGCGCAGATGCCCCTGAGAAGTCACCTTTCTAAGAGGAGGCAGGTGGAGTGGAATTTTACAAGGCATAGCCTCCAATCAACACTGCCCTCCAGTTAGCTCAAAGGGTAATTGCTTTTCTGCCTGACCCACATTCTGCTCAACCGGCACGGAGGGAAGGAGGCAACAAGCACCCGCATGAATTATTTTCTAAAAATAAGTTGGCCTCTTTTATCTCTGATTTGTAAAATTCATTTCTTGCCACTTCCTTCTGGTCAAGCTCTCCTTGGCCTCTTTCCACGAGCCCTCTCCCTCTGAGGTCTTCTGGTCTTGCCTGAGCCTTCTGCATATGCAAACCTTTTGCCTTTTTCTCCCCCTCCCCACCCCCCCCCACCCCACCCATCCCCAGGAGGCAGGTTTGATTGATTGTCCCAGTGAGGGACCAGATGTCCAGAGGAGGCAAGTGGCCTAGACAAGGACACTCAGCAAGGCACAGTGACGCCTAGGTCACTCCAAGGTCCGACTCCTCCCCTGTTTAGGTTTCTCAGTGGATTTGGACTTCCATGTGCCTATTTGCACTTCGGGCAAATGTGTGGTGGCATGAAGGATGACATTGGGCCATACGAGTTCCATATGCCAAGCAGTAGCCATCTAGAAGAACGGCAAGGTACTCCAAAAAGCGTAAATTCGGTAGCCTAGCACACCTGGCTCCATGGATTTGGCAGTAGATTCCCTTGGACAGCTTGTGTAACTCTCCAGTCCTTGGTTGCGTTCCCTGTAAAATGGTGCCAGTGTTTTGTGACGACTACCCGGGAGGATTCTGGAAAGGCCCTAGAGTAATATCCCTCGGAGGGTAAGCACAACACCCATTCCGGTTCCGAGGAACAAAGAGGGCTGCAAAGGCAGCACAGTTCAGCTCCTGGTGCCACTCAGCAGCCACGCGTCCTCGTATCCCTGAAACGAAGGCTGAATTTCCGTGTCTGCTTTTGGGGAGCAGGAAAGGAGGGGGGCACGTGGCTCCTAGATGGAACCTTAGATGTGCTGCCGCGCCGTAATTCTCTGTCTGATCCTGCAGTAAATCAAAGGCGCTTCCTGTTCAACTGCTCTGTGCCTAGTACGTGTTGTCTTGAACCTTTCTCCATGCTCCTGTTGCCCTGGGGATCTCTTAGCAGACCCCCTTTTCTGCAATAGGGTGGATGCGGGGTTCTCTGAAGTCGCACCGAGGGTCTCAGGCGGCACTGAACCAGCGGCGTGGCTGGCTGAGACCGCCGTGCTTGGGGATCTGAGCAGCAGGGTTGAGACTTGTCCCTCATCCCTCGCTGTCTCTCTCCACCTGTCCCAGGGAAAGTAATGTTGCTCTGCCTGGACCATTACATCCCCAGCACTGAGATTTAATAGATTCTTGTGCATTTTTTTCCCTTTAATTGGCTTTAACACTCTAGCTGAAATCCTCTGGTGTGCTTGGAAGAGTGGTTCGAGTGTGTGTGAAGCAGAGGGACAGAAGGAGGGAGACATGATCAGATCACAGGAAGATCTAGAACTGAAAGATACTGAAGGGGCTGGCGCTGTGGCCCAGTGGGTTAAAGCCCCAGCCTGCAGTGCAGGCATCCCATATGGGTGCCTGTTCTAGTCCCGGCTGCTCCTCTTCTTTTTTTTTTTTATTTTTTATTTTTTGACAGGCAGAGTGGACAGTGAGAGAGAGAGACAGAGAGAAAGGTCTTCCTTTGCCGTTGGTTCACCCTCCAATGGCCACCGCTGCAGCCGGCGCACCACGCTGATCCGATGGCAGGAGCCAGGATCCAGGTGCTTTTCCTGGTCTCCCATGGGGTGCAGGGCCCAAGCACTTGGGCCATCCTCCACTGCACTCCCTGGCCATAGCAGAGAGCTGGCCTGGAAGAGGGGCAACCGGGACAGAATCCGGCGCCCTGACCGGGACTAGAACCCGGTGTGCCGGCGCCGCAAGGTGGAGGATTAGCCTATTGAGCCACGGCGCCGGCCTGCTCCTCTTCTGATCCAGCTCTCTGCTATGGCCTGGGAAAGCAGTAGAAGATGGGCCAAGTCCTTGGGCCCCTGCACCCAATGTGGGAGACCCAGAAGCTCCTGGCTCCTGGCTTCAGATCAGCTCAGCTCTGGCCATTGCAGTCATTTGGGGAGTGAACCAGCTGATGGAAGACCTCTCTCTCTGTCTCTACCTCTCTCTGTAACTCTTTCAAATAAATAAAATAATTCTTTAAAAAAAAAAAAAGGAAAGATACTGGAGTAAGAATTGGGGGAGGGCAGAATAGGCAACCTCCATAAAAGGGAAATCAGTGAAATTCAGTGGTGTAAATGATTTCTGTGCATTATTAATTTCATCCTGTGATAAAAATCACATTTTATTGGCTCTTTTTATTAGAGATTTCCAGAAGCAAACTTTGGAAAGTGTTCTGTGTATGACCTTGACACCAGCAAGCTTCGTAATTCACAGACCTACCTGGGGGGTAGGGTGGGCTAGAAGGAAGGCTGGCACCTGGGAAGTTAAGTGCCTCTAGAAATAATTATGCTCCTGCTGTATACAAGGACCTTCTCTTAGATTGTCTCATTTAACTCTTACAATCCAGACACTATTTCTTAGATGAGAAAACAAACCAAGCAAACTTAAATCTGGAGGTCAGAACCAGAATATTAGGCTCTTTGGGATCTTAGGAAAAGCAATTAAAGTATTCTCCATGTTGGATCCCTTGTGAATAGGAAATATTTTCCTTACTATTGAAGTGTTCCACTGTTAATAAAATAAAATAATAATAATAAAAGAAGTAAATAAATAAAAATAATAAAATAAATGTTTTCTATAATACCCTTAGGCTGCCTGTGGTGTTCACATACATCAGGAAAGAAAGGGGAAAAAAATGAATAATCAGCTGGGTGCCATGGCCTGTGGTTGGTCCTGGGGGCTTTTTCTGAACCCAGAGAAGGAACACGAGGTCTGCTCCTTGCTGGATGCTGATGGCTGGCTTTACGTTGACACACACCTTGATGTCTATGAAGGCCACTCTTCCCCAAGGTCTTTGTTAAAACTGCTCAGTGAGGGCAGGAACCATGTCTTGATTCATAAGAAGGGGAGCACTCCACACCCTAACCCATCCCCTAGGAGCAGCTCTCCTTGTGGTCCCTCTGTCACCCCATAGGGAAGACTGACTATCTGTGAGTTGGGTTCCAAGCATCTATTACAGTGCCTGCGCCAGCAGATGGTGCTGGGGAAATGAGGTCCAATTCAATTGCGTAGCAGTTGACTGGGCTTTTAGATGGATTTCCAAAAACCATACCTGAATCCTGATGGGAGATGGAGACATGGGCTGGAGGAAAGTCTGGGGCCATGAAGCAGTACCAAGCATCCACCTGCAAAACCCCGGAAAGAGAACAAATGCTTACTGATCCGAGTCCAAGTGTGTCCGGGGCTTGCACACCCCAGGGGCTCCTGTGCACGTCCACAGCTGGAGGTGTGCACTGGTCACACCCAACACACAGTCCTGGCTGTGGGTCTCACTCATTGTCCCTTCTGCTTTCAGACTTTACAGGTGATCTACCCCTACACCCCCCAGAATGATGACGAGCTGGAGCTGGTCCCAGGGGACTTCATCTTCATGTCTCCCATGGAGCAGACCAGCACCAGCGAGGGCTGGCTCTATGGCACCTCCTTAACCACTGGCTGCTCTGGACTCCTGCCCGAGAACTACATTACCAAGGCTGACGAATGCAGCACCTGGATATTCCATGGGTAAGCAGATGCAGACCTTCTTCCTGCTATGGCAGACGTGGAAGAGGTGGTGGGGAAACAGCCTTGCTCCTGGGCATACAGGACAGCTGTCACCGTCAAATGGGGTCCATGGGGAAGAAAGCTCTTCTGGTTCCAGAGGTCCAGAAAACACAGAGACAGGAGGCACTGGGGGAAATGGGAAGTGGATTGCTTTCTTCACTCTGCCTGTCCCATTTGATGTAGTTGTCTACCTGGGATCCTAACCAGGGACAAAACCGGGCTCCTTGGGGGTTCACCTCTTCTGGCCAGCGTGTAGTGTCCCCACCAGTGGTAAGACTTCTCTGCCTTAGGGCCCCTGCCTGTCTTGTTCTGGGTCATTACTAGAGTGGGCTGACTCCCCAAAGCAGCTACAAAGATGGCTGCCATGCCAGCCAGACCAACAGTGAAAGGAGTTTGCAGGTCAGGCACTGTGACCATATTCGCCTGCTTGGTGACACTGAGCAAGTCCTCAGACTTGGCACATGTGTGCTTACATGGCTCAGACCGTGACCTAAGGTAAGGAGACCCTGCCAACGTGGAAATAGAGCACATGGCCCCCTGACAGCTTCCCACCTGTCCCTTACTGCCGTTTCGCCCTCAACCCATACTGGGCCCATGGTCAGCGCGGACTCTGCTGTATGGGCTGTTTCATCCCACTAGAGAAAACAGAAACAAAAGACGTGTCTTCTCTTTCTTAATCCAAGCATCTCAATGCCAGCCCTTCCCTGGCATGCTCCGGGCATCCAGCCACGGCGTGCCTGCTGGCCTGTTTCTCCTCCCTGTCGTTTCCACCACGTGCAGACGACTGGGAGGCAGAAGCCCTGAACAAAGACCATCACAAATGAGAAGCAGACAGGCATGGCTTCAGTGAGCGTTTTACCTGGAAGGAGAACGCAGAGGTTCCCTACTCTGGTGAGCAGCAAGCACACAGACTAAACCCCAAATGGAAGGAACATTCTCCTTCTTCGTAACACCTCCCCACACACCTCAGCAGTTCCTCTTCCCTGCAGGGAACCCTCCACTGCATCCCGTAAACATCACTCTTTGGTGGTGCTAATTAGGGAATCAAAGCTGCCTTATGTTCCCCAAATATTTGCTTTTTCAGAAATGTTTCTGAAGAACAAAACACATACTTTGGATTTCCAAAGTCATCGCTTTGTGCCTATCAAAATGAGTAAAGCAAAATGCAGTCATGCGCCACGTAACAGACCGCATAGACCACAGGGAGTCCCTTTAAGACTGTGTCCCGGGCAACCTCGTAGCCATCTTAGCCTGCAGAAGCAGTCTGTGATGTTCACACAATGCTGCAGAGCTTAGAGCACATCCCCATTGCTAAGTGACACGTGACTGTGTGAATGAACTGAGACCTGAAAGACTGTTTGCCTGACAAATCACAGCCCCAGATCCCATTCTTAAAAGTAGGGCTGGAGCAGGCATTGTGGCACAGTGGGTTAAGCTGAGGCCTGGGATACCTGCAGCCAATAGTAGAGTCCCAGCTACTCCATTTGTGATCCAGCATCCTGTTAATGCACACGCTGGGAGGCAGCAGATGATGATTCAAATGCTCGGGCCCCTGCCTCCCATGTGGGAGACCCAGATGGGGCTCTGGACTCCTGGCTTTGGCCTGGCCCAGCCCTGGCTGCTGCAGGCATTTGGGGGAGTGAAACACCAGATGGAGTATCTCTCTTTCCCCACCCCCTATGCTGTCGCTCTGCCTTTCAAATAGGTGAAATTAAAATTAACATTTTCTAAAAATAAGAACTTTATTAATTATTTTTAAAAATAGGGTTATATGTGGGTAAAGAGTATACATGAGAAATCCTGCTAACCCCTTTCTGATCTCTCCACGCAACCCCACTCTTCCCTAAGTTAGAACGCAGTCGAAGCATGGACAAACCTACGTGACCTGGAGCAGTGGATCACAGGGAGGTCTGCGTGTCAACTCCTTTTATTCTGAGTGATTACTAGTGATGTTAGTTCCCTGGCAGCCATGTCTGCAAGTAAGCTGCCAGCTTGCACAGCCAGCTCTGCTGCTGAGAGTGGGGAAATACTGGCGTTCAGCACTGGAACGCTGTCATTTCAGTTTTGATTCCAACAGTCTTGGATTCAAGCCCTAACTTTCCATTTGCCAGCTGCAACACCTTGGCCAAATGACAGGACCTCTGTGAGCCTCTGTTTGCTCATCTATAAAATGGAGATAATAATGCACTTACCACGTAGGGTTGTGAAGACAGCGGTAAAAGGGCTGGCTCAGCTCTCCGCGGTCAGTGTTGGGTATGCAACAGCCCTGAATGCAAAACACCCATTAGTGTTATGATTATTTCTTTCTATCTCATGTTTACTGTCCCCATTTACCTGCTCATCCAATCCAATGTCTCTCCCACAACATGATCCTGCAGATGAGCTGCACTGTCCTAACTATATTTAATCCCAGAAGCGGAAGTGACTCAAGCAGGCAGAACCCAGTGAGACAGCCTCAGGGTGCTGGAGCTGTGAGCTCCTGGCTGGAGGGGAAGTTGCACAGGGATTCAGGCAGCAAGCAGGGACACAACCCCCTGCTGTTCAGTTCTGAGTCCCTCCTAAGAATGGCTTTCTCGACATCCTGCTGGAGTATCTTGCCTAGCTCTGAGAAGCCCCAGTTACATCCTCTGCCATGGGGTGAGCCGCCCAACCCTCTGGGCTCACCACAGGCCCACTGTGTTCCAGGGAGGAGCCAGCATCTCGCCAGTGCTTGGAAAGAGGTTCTGGGTACCAGGCTCAGCTCCCTCCCTCCCTTGCTGCCAGCATGAAGTGTCTGCCTATTGTCTTATTGGAAGTGACAGCCCAAGCTGTCTCAGAGTGAGTCAGGTCGCTTGATGGCAGTGACAGGGTGGGAAGGAGGCTGGCATTCTCCTTATCAAGTGAGCTCTAGGAGGGAGAGAAGGGGTCCTACTGGTGCCATCCCAGCTGTAATAAAGTGAAGACACGGGAGCCATGTACAGCAGTTTGTCAGCATCCCTCCAGAGCCAGCCATCCTAAACCCTGAAGCTTTGATGAATCAGACAAGAAAGCTGGATTGGTTTTAATGTCTGATGTTTGAGAGGATATCAGTTTAAAAGAAAGGAGAACAGCTAGCTTATTAAGCTATGTGCATGGCACAAGATTTCCTTGGGCTACACGTACTCAAAATTTCCCATAAAAGGTTTCATCTGGCTGCACATCAGACTTACTGATGCAGCTTTGTTAAACTACAATTTCTATCCAAAATGACTGAGTCACAATCTATGAGGGGTAGGGCCCAGCGTGAGTACTTTTTAAAAGTCCCATTATGTACTAGGGCTGAAAATCGCTTCCAGTGTATAAGGTTTCTGACACCTTTGTTTACAAGTGCAATTAGTCTGGGGCCAGTATTGTGGCATGGCAGGTTAAGCCACTGCCTGCTTGACACCGGCATCCCATAGGAGCATGGGTTTAGCCTCAGCTGCTCCTCTTCCAATCCAGCTCCATGCTAATGTGCACTTGGGCCCCTGTACCTACATGGGAGCCCCAGTTGGAGTTCCAGGCTCCTTGCTTTAGCCTGGTCCATCCCTGGCTGTTGCAGCCATTAGGGGAGTGAACTAGCAACAAATGGAAGATCTCTCTCTCTCTCTCTCTCTGCCTCTTGCTGTAACTCTGCTTTTCAAATAAAAAATTTAATAATAAATAAGCAAATAAAATTAGTCTATCATTTTTACTCAAAAAAGGCTACTTCTTAGAGTAACTGAATGCTCAAATATTAAAATTATTTAATTTTGGAAAAAAAATTTTTCCTAACAACCAGTTAGTTTCATTGTGTTGATGAATATGAAAAATTATTTTCCAAAATAAAATATGAATTATTCTTTGTTAGAAATGAATCATCTAGACCAGGTGCTAACCTGGACGGATTACTGCTGAGTCAACACACACGACCCAGGCCTAGGCTTGGCAAACTGGACTGTGCGCAGGTGGTAAAGGAGCGAGGGCTCTGAAATGTCAGTGCTCCCCCTGGACTCCATCCAGTGATAGCGGGTCTTTGGATTTGCCCAGCAACCATCCTTAAACAGCAACAGTCATTAGCTGCTGCTTTTTGGAGATCGTACTCTTCACCGTAATGTAAAAGTGGCACATTTTAACTGCTTCCCTTGCAGCAAGATCTCTCTTGGGCTTCGTGAGTTAGAGTGGTTCAGCCTGAAATGAGAGGTCTTGGCTCGCAGCTCGGAACATCTGCTGAGAACAGTCTCTTCTGGAATAATTCTGTCTTTAATCATCTTGGAGGTGCCGCTGAGATGGGGAATGGTGTTTGGAGACTGAAAAGGGTAGAATAGGGGATAATGGCCATGAAGTTTCCTTGACCATCAGGAGCCATGGGCAAAGTCATGGAGACAGTAAAAATCTTCCCTCTCATTCTTCACTTCAGATGGAAATTACCATGGGAAAGATGAAAGGCAGCAGGAATTGTTTATTTCTTTTGAACCAGAAAACTAGCTGGAAACAGTGGTACATAATTGATACCTCATTATTCTTTAACATGCCTTTGGTGCCAGCATGCCTGTGGCATCCCAATAAGCACAAAATCATTGGACTCTCTCCCTACCCAGAGGGAAGAATGTGTCTGTTCTCAGTGCAGAAATCCATCTCCTCCTAATTTATTAACTGCAAGGCTTCAGTAGGAAACAAGGTGTCCCCCTCCAGAGGTGACCTTAGCACAGCCCAGAACTGTGTGCTGACTCCCACGCTCCTGCTGAGCCCAGGATGAAGTGTGCATGACTCTGGGCCAAAGCAGTTAACATCGTCCTCGTCTTCCTCTGCAGTTCGTACTCCATCTTAAATACAACATCATCCAGCTCGCTCACCTTTGGGGACAGCGTATTGGAAAGGCGGCAGTATGAGGACCAGGGACTGGGGGAGACGGCAGCCCTCACCATCATCTGTCAGCCGATGCAGGTAAGCGATGTCAGCTCACACCCTGCAGTCTAACCAGGGAGGGTGGGCATTGCTCTCATTGTCCCCAAAGGGTCCCCGGTCTCCTAGGGAGGACGTCTCTTAGCTAGGGAGACATAGATGAATGATACTCACAATAACCATTAGCACTTGCGTCTAAGCTGGTGAAGAAGGTTCTTCCCCAGAGAGAAGCGAAGGATACTTATCTCTAATAGGAATAATGTCCGTGCTTTTATCTACAAGGGTACTTCCTGAAGTGGTGGGGAACTGAAATTACAAGTTTATTTTGCTGCAAAAAGTATTGAAATCTATGCATAATTTTTGTCAGAATGCATAATATCCCCAAACTTGTGGAAGACCCTTCTTATGCATAAATTTCAAAAACTTCTTCACCAGAATAAACTTACCTTTTCTATCGCTACATCCTTTTTAAGTACCTTTGTATTTTGAAGCTTGTTGTAAAGATTAAAGGAAATAATCAAATAAGATCATTGGTACAAGAACTGGCATGTAGTGAGTGCTCAGTATAAGTTAGCCTTTGCAAGAAAGGTTGGACATGCAAGGGGTGAGGGAAAAGTGGTTGAATAGCCAACAGCAAATTAAAAGCTCAAATGTGTTGAAGATAAGGACTGTAGGGTACTTTCACTGGAGCCCAGGGTTGGAATTAGGGAACAGCAGAAAAGAGACATGGAAGCTGACTGTATCAACAAGCAATGTAAAACCTGTAAAAGGCACAGAAGCCAAAGTCGTTTGGACATGCCTCTGGCCATCCGTGTCTACGTCATCATCCAGAGCTGTCCTCCCAGAGTCATTTCTGGGGACACCACAATGTATTGGTCAGATGACAGCCCCCATGTGGTGGTGAGCATAGGCAAACCAGCGCCTCATGGCTGGAGCAGACCCAAAGGACTGCGTGGGCCGAGCCACGCACCTTAGAGGTAAGACAAGAACATTGCAATCATAGAGGTGCTCTCTCCATGAAGTTGATGCAGCATCCACTTTGTGGGAGGAAGCATCTCACTAAATGGCTTGTCTACATGAAGGGCTAATTTTACTCTGAGCTGTAACTCACATGGTCTTTATGCGTTAGCCTGAGGGTGGTTCCAAAAATTCATGGAAAGTGGAAGTAGAAGATAAGTTTGTTTCAGTTCACAGTTTTTTAAAATCCGTGTGTGATGCTTTCATAACACGCATGTTTCGTGAACTTCTTGAAGACTCCACCTATTGGCTGTTCCTACTAACAATTGCAGCCATGCAATAATAAGAATACAATTTTCATAACCCTTCTTGCTTCACAAAGCTGTTTATCTCGTGTGAGCCTCCAAAAAACCTGGGAGGTCTCTGGGATGAGACTTACTGTCTTCATTTTTACAGACGAGCCAACCTACATCCAAGGCACTTGAGGGACTTGTCCAAGTCATGGCTTGGCAGATCTTGTACCGAAGCTCAACTCATTGGGAAATCGGCTCCCATGTTCCCTCACTCTAAGCCTTTTCTTTCCCTGTAGCCTCTCAGAGTCAACAGCCAGCCTGGCCCCCAAAAGCGATGCCTTTTTGTGTGTCGGCACGGAGAGAGGATGGACGTTGTGTTTGGGAAGTACTGGCTGTCCCAGTGCTTTGACGCCAAAGGTAAGGAGTGGGCCGGCCTGCTCAGCGGAATATACCCAGTACTGCCTCTAGGGGGCAGAGTCAAGCTACGTTTATCTAGAATAGATGGAGTCATTTACAGGTTTGTGTGCTGTGGAAAATGACTAATCGGTAAATCCTTCCTGATGGTCTTGAGTTTAGGGGAAGTGGTTAGTGTTCTTTTTCCCACTCCAGAAACTGGGGCACTAAGTACTAAAAAAGGTAGATGTCTCACCCACAATCATATAGCGACATCAACCTCAGAGACATGTCACGATTCTGTGGCCAGGGTTGCCTCCATTAAATCAGTCCAGCTCCTTTGGCGTCACGCTCCCAGGAGCACCATTTAAGATGGGGAGGGTCCATTAGAGTGCAACCTGCTCTTTAGGGTCTGCTTGTGATTGTCACTTAGAAACTCTGTCTTGTCACTTTTGACAGCAGAATGGGAGAGTGGATTCTGAGTCTATCCACCAAAGAAACTGTGTCAGCCTCAATACGAGCTGACAGTTGGAAGGAGGGGGTGTCAGGATCAGCACGGGGAGTCTTGGGGAAGCAAGAAATTCATGTCGCCTTGGTCTGCCCTTTCTTTTCCAGGCCGCTACATACGCACCAACCTGAACATGCCTCACAGCTTACCTCAGCGGAGTGGTGGATTCCGGGATTATGAGAAAGACGCTCCAATCACTGTGTTTGGATGCATGCAAGCGAGACTAGTGGGCAAGTGTCCCGACGTGACTGCCATGCCCTTCCTGGCTGCTACAGAAAGACTAATCCCCATGGGCATACAAGACACTTCCTGGGGGTTTCTGTAACTTCCCTACAACTAACCCATGTCCTCAATGCTAAAGGGATGTATTGCATAACCGTTAGTTTCAAGACCCTGGGCTTAGCACTAGCGTGGTTAACCAAAGTGAACAAACTGTGGTCCTTATTGAGGAGTGTATGATCCAGTGATGGGGAAATCAGGCTGGGTTTAGTGTCATCACTGGTGTAGCAGACCAAGACAGCAGCCACTGCCAACACAGCTGTAAGAAGGCCAGGCAGAGCAGGAGGAGGGAACCCCACAGTTGCTGAATATACAGGGGCCAACTACTATCCAAAGAAGCTCTGGTCTTTAAAGCTGCATTCCATATCTGCTATGCAGGACCAGGCCTTGTCCTGTTCAGTCATTTAACAGATATTTATTGATCATTTCTTTTGTGCAAGGTACTAGGCCAAGTGCAAGCCCCCACCAGAGAAATGAACCTGTGTAACTATCATACAATGTGCCTTTCTCAGTCACAGAGTTCTGCACGTAGTAAGGGAACACATACCAAAAAAGACACGAGGAGGAAGGGAGTGGGCTGGGGCCTGAGGTAGAAGTGAGCTGGGCAAGGAAGGAGGGCGACGCACTCGGAGAAAAGGACGACCTGAATGAAGTTTCAGAGATGGGAGGGTCAGTAGTGCGGGGGAAACAGGTGTCTTGTCTCTGGGCCTAAATTGTGAGGCAGGCCAAGGATGGGGCTGCAAAGTTCGATAAACCCAAGCTCATGGAAGACCTTGATCACTCTATTCAGGTGTTTGGACCTCATCCAGCAGGAAAAAAAAAAAAAAAAAAAAGAAGAAGAAGTAGAAACCAAGATGAGAATGTTGGAGGATCACATGTCGGGATTTACATCTGGTATTCAAGAACAGAAGAAGTTGAGAGTTTTGGCTAACCAGAATTAAATTAAATTAGAGGTGTGATCCTCACCGTGTAAGCCTCTCAGCTCTAGATGGAGGTCAGAGAGGATCCCATTTCTAGGTGTCTCCTAGATGGATGTTCTGCCACCTGTTGACATCAGAGAAAAGAGAAGGAAAAGGCCGGCGCTGCAGCTCACTAGGCTAATCCTCCGCCTTGTGGCGCCGGCACACCGGGTTCTAGTCCCGGTCGGGATGCCGGATTCTGTCCCGGTTGCCCCTCTTCCAGGCCAGCTCTCTGCTGTGGCCCGGGAGTGCAGTGGAGGATGGCCCAAGTGCTTGGGCCCTGCACCCCATGGGAGACCAGGAGAAGCACCTGGCTCCTGCCATCGGATCAGCGCGGTGCGCCGGCCACAGCGCACCAGCCGCGGCGGCCATTGGAGGGTGAACCAACGGCAAAGGAAGACCTTTCTCTCTGTCTCTCTCTCTCACTGTCCACTCTGCCTGTCAAATAAATAAATAAATAAATAAATAAATAAAAAAGAGAAGGAAAAGACAAGAAGGAGTCTGCTGGTTGGCCCCTTCCATAGAACCCCGGACAGGGGGCTTTGTTGGGAGCAAGGCTGACACTGCTGGCTCTGCACGAGCCCCTGCAGTGTTACAGGAGCTGTGGGCACCGCTTCAGCGGAGGCTGGTTGAGTGCATCAGACTGATTCTCTTGGGCTTCCTTTGCAGGTGAGGCATTGCTGGAGAGCAACACCATTATTGATCACGTCTATTGCTCCCCATCTCTGCGCTGTGTCCAGACTGCACACAATATCTTAAAAGGTAGGACTCGCAGGCTGACACAGTGAACTAGTCCATCTGCTGTCTCTTGGCAGCCCCCACATCTAGATTAACTTGGAATCTTAGGACAGAAGCCAGTTGAGAGCTTTGAATCTGGAATTTTTAGTAAGCATGCCCTCAGAAGATGACCAACCTCGTACATGTCCCAAAATCCTACTCAGGCAGCATGTGCTAGATAAATGGAAATACACTAATAATATTTTTCTTGAGATTTAAAGCTCTCTTGCATGAGTTGCAAGCTTGCAAATATCTCTGTAAATAAAATTTGATCATTTCTTTGCTTTTAAATAGTCGAGTAGTTTTCTACTGCTCTGATCCGTCGTTTGCCTCTGGTTAAAGCAGAAATGGCGTTCCTGGAAGTCCTAATCGTCTTTGTTTCTCCAGTTCATTGCCAAGACTTTAAAAGCATCACTACTGTATAGATATCCACATTCACCCTGCAATCCGTGGACGTTTGAGTTTCAGAGTTCTCTGTTCTTATTTCACTGGAGGGAAAGCTGAAAGAAACAGAGTTGGACTGAGTATTTGTACAAACAAATGAGCCAGCAACAGACAAAGCAACAAAGAATTTGGCACTGAGTATGAGCCTTCAATTCTTTGACCTTAAGTAAACCTTCTCTTCACCACCAGAGGCATTTATTTATATATTAAATTAGTATAGAATATTGGAGCTAGGTGTAATACAAAGAGAACTAAACTATATAAAGGGACAGTCCTCACTTTGAGGGTGATTCCTCTATGATAAAACACAGGACTTACGCTTTGGTACTTGTAAGTACTCGATGTTGGATTTTCTGAGATAAAATGAATACTCTATGTGATACTCAAACGCAGTGTGAACTGCTGTAGAGTAGTGCATGCTAAGAGACCGACGTTTCTTGTTGAGACAGTCATGGAAGTTTACAAGGAGGAAGTGTAACAGAGAATTTAATAACTTACATGGATAATGACTTGTGGGGTTTTTCTCTTAAATAAAAACACCACTTAAAGCTGGTATACACCCTGAAGGTGTGGCCAGGGTATTAATCCTATGTGTTTATAATGCAGAAATTAAAAACCCTTGTCAGGGGCTATAGTGTAGTGGGTTAAGCCTCCATCTGTGGTGCCGGCATCCCACATGGGTGCCAGGTTGAGCCCCTGCTGCTCCACTTCTGATCCAGCTCCCTGCTGATGGCCTGGGAAAGCAGTGGAAGACGGCCCAAGTGCTTGGGCCCCTGCACCCACATGGGAGACCTGGAAGAAGCTCCTAGCTTCAGACGGGCCCAACCCTGGCCGTTACAGCCATCTGGGGAGTGAACCAGTGGATGGAAGACCTTTATCTCCACCTCTCCCTCTCTCTATCTGTAACTCTGCCTCTCATATAAGTAAATAAATCTTAGGAAAACGTTAAAACCTACATGCTTTAACTTTGCTTTAGGTATACACAGCATCCAGCAGGAAAGAGAATAACGGTGCTTCCTTCATTGTCACTTTATTTTACTTTTAAGGTTTACAACAAGAAAATCTCCTTAAGATTCGTGTAGAGCCAGGCTTGTTTGAGTGGACCAAGTGGGTTGCCGGGAACTCCTTACCAGCGTGGATACCGCCATCAGAGTTAGCTGCCGCCAACCTGAGTGTGGATACAACCTACAGGTAACCCTCTGAACTGCTGTTTCCCAAGGCCAGCAGGCCAGGCTCATGAAGCGATGAAGAGCCAGACATGGGCAGTGGCCCACACTGGTGGAAATCAAATCAAGCTGTAATTGGAGAAACCACACCTAAGGATAAGCCAGCATTTGCTTATATTTATCATTTGCACAAATTATATCCCAAACCTGACTGTTCTGCACTTCCCTGACTTTATTATCTCTGTCTCAGTGTAATACTAAAACCATTTTGCATTCCAGGAACATGCACCAGTTCATGATAAAGCAGTTCAAAAGTTTGTTGGACACTAAAGGGGATGTGCCTGAGTTTTCACTTTTCACGTTAAAAAGCATCTTGAATTCTGTTTATTATCTTCCTTTATTATTGCCATAAACCCAGAATATAGACAAGCCATTTTCATACAGGAGTTCAAGGGCTTGTCCAAAGTTGGGTATTTCATGACTACATACAAGAATTATACTTGTGTCTTGACGGCAGACCACTAACGTTTACTAACCATTTTCTGCAGCCGGCCACTGTGTAATCTGCTTCCTGGTCTTCTCATTCCTATCTCTTTGCTTTTTCCATAAAGCCAGACTGTCTGTGCTGGGATTAAGAAGAGTTTGTAGATTGCTCATAGATGCATAATCCACAAGCACACCATTAAAAATTAACCAATAATACGGGTCAGGCGTTGAGCCTAGCAGTTATGCCAGTTAAGTCACCAGCATCCTGGAGTGGCTGAGGTTGAGATACCACTTGGGAAGCCTGCGTCCTTTATCAGAGTGCCTGAGTTAAAAGTCCCAGCTCTCTCCCCATTCTAGCTTCCTGCTAATGCACACCCTGGGAGGCAGCAGGTTCAAGTTGTTGGATCCCTGCCACCCACATAAGAGACCTGGGTTGCTTCCCAGTTCTCAGCTCCCAGCTTCAGCCTTGCCCACATCCATCATAAGCATTTGGGGAGTGAATCACTGGGCAGAAGCTCTGTGTCTCTGCTCTCAAATAATAAATGATATATATATATATAATTAACCAATAAGAATATAGTTCAATTAATTACCAAAAATCTACTCAGGCATTTACAAGATCTCTTTGAGGAGAGATAGATCATAACAACTGCTAAGAACCTGGAGCACATGGTACTTGATCTAGAGGGTGGTTGCCCATCTAAACCTGGGGACTGTGCTAGGGGGCTCTGCAGGTGCGACTAACAACATAACAGGTCCTGCCAGCACAGGAAAGAGGTCTTTCACTCTGTTCTCTGTTCATATCAGGCACTGGAATCCTTCATAGATTCAACTTCAAAGGCAAGACCTGAGCAGGATCTAGATCCCAGCATCTATTTCCTTCTGCACTTACACAGACTCACACATTGCGACTTCACCTTGAAATGACACCTTGGCCCATTCAAAGGGGTCTTTGGTCTTAGTATGGGGGAGATCCTGGGAGGCCAGTGACATAACTGACAATGGAATTGGATGAGATGTGCAGATGGGAAGAGAAGAGAGAGAACAAGGAGGCACAGCATTACAAGGGTGATCCGTGTTTCCACCTGTCCCGCAGGTGTTGTGAGAGTTACAGGAAGTTTTCTAGGAGAAATATGCATGCCAAGACAGTGTCAAATTAGAATGACTTTCTTGCACATACAACAGTGCCTTTCCTCTCTGTATGGCAAGTCCAAGTGCACGGAAGGGCAACCTTGACCAGAACACTGTCACAGCTGTCAGTGTGGAGGCTAAGTTTGTGGGCCAGGTCTGAGACGCAGGCTCTAAGACTTGCTAGTGGCGCGAGCATCGTCAAGTCAGCCCTAGCCTTCTAAACTTCTGAATGTGTCACCCAGAAACTCAGAATTTACAAAAGCATTTTTGGGAAGAGGATCCTGGAAGAATGCAAGTAGGACACTTGCTCAGAACATGGGACTCCTGCAGCAACTATTTTTAGTACTAATAGTAGTAGCAGTTGTAATGTAGTTGCCTCAAAATGCCATGTGAATCCAGTTTAAGAACTCACCACCACTTCCCCCAGGCAATAAACACCCAGCAATGAAAAACAGAGTTAAGAAAATAGAAAAACTCTATGGCATGCTTGTACTCAAAAACAAGATAAACATCTCAGACCAAAAACAACACAGAAAAGTCATTGGAAACAGGCAGAGGCTGACCTGAGGGCGTTGGTAACTGGTTCTCCAGGATGGGAGCGCCTCCCTGGATCCTCCTCTTCAATGCCTCTGTCAATTGTGTCCTAATTATCATTTACAGCCAGAGCCACCCATCCCACCTGCACAGAGAGCTCCTCAAGGGTTCCCTTCATCTGTATTCCCTGGGCTTCTCCTAGTGCCAGGAGCGTGTGGTCTGTGTTCACAATCAGAAAGAAATGGAAGAAACAGATCAATATTATGTGAGTCTGCCAATCAGACCACACATCTGCTTTTCTCACCTGCTGTTTGGGACAAGTGTTTGATACAGTGGCTAAGACACTGCTTGGGACTTGCACTTCCCACACTGGAGTTCAAAACCTGGCTCCACTCTCTATTCCAGCTTCCTGCTAATGCACACCCTGGAAGGCAGCAGTGATCGCTCACCTAACTGGTTCCTCCCTGCCATTCACCTGGAAGACCTGGACTGAGTTCCTGGCCCCTTCCAGCTGGGCTTCCAGCTGGCCCAGCCCCAGCTGTTGTAGACATTGTTTGGGGAATGAACCAGTGAACCAGCAGAAGGGAGATCTCTCTCTATCTCTCTCTCTCTCTCCCTTTCAAATATTTTTTTTAAAAAAACTGCTGTTTATTATGTATACATTTTCTGAAGAGAGGCTTGCAAAATCCCTGATCATCTAAACCAGTAGAAAGAGTTAATCTTTGTTTCATATTAGCTATATGACTAAGACCATTTGCAAACAGTAAATTAGTTAAACTGCTGATGTGTTGCCCAGTGGGTGTAACAGGCACTGGATGTCTCACTTTTCAACAGGTCGCTGTGACACGACAGGCATAGCTTTTATTTCTAACATTTCAACCCCATCTTCATGCGCTGGAAATGCACTTCCCTGACTCTCCCTTCTTTCCAGGGAAATGGGTAAACAGATAGATGAGAACTTTAGAAAGGTCTCGAAAGAAAAGTGGAGAGTGACATAAATTGCTTTGGTCTCTGAATCAAATTGTTTTCATTTCCTTTGTTCATTTTTCTATTACAGACCTCACATTCCAGTCAGCAAATTAGTGGTTTCAGAATCCTATGACACTTACATCAGTAGAAGTTTCCAAGTAACAAAAGAAATAATAAGCGAATGTAAAAGTAAAGGTAGGTGCCATTATTTTGGACTCCATATTTAAATATGTGATCATTTCTCCATCGTGGTTAATTGGCTGTTCAAGTGTTTCAACTCGCTGTGGCACACTAGCTTAGTAGGAAAGAAATATATCTGTGGCCTCTCCTCTAGATGTTTTCATATTGAATTTGTGATATTCTCTGAGAACCTTGCACGCTAGGTTCAGTTTAGATTCTGCATGAGAGCTAGTCATCTTGTGAAGGGGGTTTGCTATTACAAAGTCTGGACGTTTGTGAGCCTGGCCCTGATTTGCCTGCACTTGATCCAGGAGTCTAGACATCACGTACAAACTCACCTGGACACCCACCGTCCAAAAGTGTCCTTAGTGTCAGGCTAAGTCTGTTTCCAGATGTTCTAAACATTTAATGATATATAGGAGGATTGTTCACTGTGGATGTTAAGTTACGTATTTATATCCATAGAGCAAACACTGGAATTATATACATGAAAATGGTAACCGCGGCTAGCCCTGGGCAGCTGTACGGTAGATGACTACCTGGCAGTTATCACTCAAGGCGCTCAGTTCCACAAAGATGTTCTGTCAACTGCTAGTCTCTAGAGCTTACAGGTCTACAGTGGCAGCATTTAAAACTGTGTGAGAGGGGTGGCACCAGGAGCGCTGTGGCTATGCAGCAGTTCTGGATCTTGATTGCAGAGCTTACACAAAGCCACACGCATGGGAGAGGTGCGTGGAACTGTAGATTCCTACTCACACGAGTGCTTCCCAAACCTAGTGAGATCTGAGCCATCAGATCAGTGATGGTATCAGTGTCGGTTCCTGGTTTTGCGGCTGTGCCATAGGTCCAGATGTAAGCTGGGTGAAGGGTATACAAGCCCCCTTTGCTATGTGTGTACCTGTGTGTACATGTGCATACGGATGTATGTGTACATGTGTGTATGCATGTGTGTTCATGTGTGTGTATATATGCATGTGTGTGTACAGTCAGTTCTCTGTGTCTGAAGGCTCTGCATATGCAGACTTAACCAGACCTGGATGGAAAATATTCAGAAAAAGTAGCACCTATGGGAAGTGGGCATTTGGCACAGCAGTTAAGACTCTACTCGGATACCTCCATCCCTTATTTGAATGCCTGGATTTGAGTCTTGGCTCCACTTTCAATTCCAGCTTCCTGCTAATTCATACCCTGAATGGTAGCAGGTAAAGGCTCAAGTACTTGGTTCCCTGCAACCTACATGAAGACCAGGATTGAATTCCTGGCTTCTGGTTTTGCCTGGACCCAACCTGGCTGTTGTGGACATTTGGGTAGTGAACTAGTAGATGGAAGATTCTCTCTCTATCTCTCTCTTTCTCTCTCTCTCTTCTTTTCAAATAAAATGAAAACAAATAAAAGCCTTTTCAAAAATAACATTTGTACTGAACACATACAGATATGTTTTTCATTTTTTCTTGTCATTATTCCCCAGACAATATACCATTACAACCATTTACATAGCTTTCACATTATATGAGGCACTACAAGTCATCTAGAATGATCCAAAGGATGTGTGTGGGTTATATGTAAACACTGTACTGTTTATATAAGGGACTTGAGCATCTTTGGGCTTTCATGTCTGTGAGGGGTTCTGGAACCAGTCCCTCTCAGATACCAAGGGACAACTGTATATACAAGGGGACTTAAAACAAGTTGTAAAAAGAAAAAACTTTTTAAAATCCATGCTTATGTGGAGTCTTCAAAAAGTTCATGGAACATATGTATTATGAAAAACTATGTATGGTTTTTAAAAAATTTTGCACCACAATGAGCTTATCTTTTCATTCCATTTTTCTTCATGAACTCTTTGAAATACTCCTTCATTGACAAAATGTATCTGTCTTTGTAGAAACACTCTTCCCATTTCCTGCTTTCTTCCCCAGGAAATAATATTCTGATTGTGGCCCATGCATCTTCCCTCGAAGCGTGCACCTGCCAGCTTCAAGGCCTGTCACCTCAGAACTCCAAGGACTTTGTACAAATGGTCCGCAAGGTAACGTGTTCTGTGTGTCTGGGGCCCGCAGTGCTGTGCGGTCTGGGACAGTCAGCACCTGGTGGTTCGATGAGCTCTCTGAAGCGCATGTTTATGCTGAGCTGTGAAGGCTCCTGTATTGATTCACTCAACCAGGATCTACTGAGAGGTACTCTGTGTAAGCCATTTTATCAGCCCCTGGACAAGAGAAACGGATGTGTTAGAGTTAATTCATGCTTCTGAGAGCTAACCTTTAGGAAGTTGCTAAGAATTCTGAGCAAACTGTGTGCATTTCCCTGAGGAACCTTGAGTTGGATACACAGTCTGAGTCCAAAACACAGCGTCTGAAAGCTTGGCTGGATGACAGGGCCTAGCAGGTGGTCCAGGGACAGCAGCCAGTTACAATGATCAGGCTGAGCAGCACACCCAGGAACCGGAGAGGCGGACCTCCACAGCTGGATGGGGGAGGCAGACCCCTACAGCTGGATGGGGGAGGCAGACCCCTACAGCTGGATGGGGCTCTTGGTGCCTCTGGCTGAGGCTTCCCATCAGCCCCCTCCCACACACTTCCCTTCAGGCAAAGCAAACAGTTTCTTTCTCTGCCACCAAAGAACCTGATTCAAAGTCAATTGCAATTCTCTTCTCCTTTTTAAAAAGCTTATTTATGCATCTGCTCTTCCCTGGTGTCTGTAAATGGCTGGAGGGGAGAGATTTTTGTCTTGTTTATGAAGGCAGCTTTGGATGTGTACAGGAAAATACGCTTTGACATTGCCATGACAACTGAAGTTAGCGAGAGCACAGCTTCCTCTTTGTCACAGATCCATGTGCAAAAGCAGAAAAGGAAAACAAAGGATACAGAAGTGAAACAAATTTCTTAAATGGGATCATCTTTTCCATTGTGTTCCTGTCTCATTTCAGAAGTGTTTGGGCTGCCTTTCAACGTGATGGGCAATTAGGAACTAACTCCTGGCACCTGAGAGTCGCGTTGCCTTCCCTTACCTGAGGCTTCACTTCCTGCAGTTTCAGCTGCTTGCAGTCAACCATGGTCCAAAAATTCAGTACCAGGGCCCCGGCATCATGGCGCAGTGGGTTAAGCTGTCTCCCGCATCCCACATGGACGCTGGTTTGAGTCCCAGCTGCTCTTCTTCCCTTCCAACTCCCTACTAATGCACCTGGGAAAGCAGCAGAACGTGATCCAAGTACCTGGGCTCCTGCCACCCAAGTGAGAAACCAGGATGGAGTTCTAGGCTCCGGGCTTCCGCCTGGCCCAGCTTGGCCATTGTGGGTGGCCATTTGGGGAGTGAACTGGCAGATGGAAGCTCTCTCTCTGTAACTCTGCCTTTCAAATAAATAAATGTTTAAAAAAAAAAAAGCACAATACAGTAAGTTACTCTGAAAGAGAGACCACATTCACATAGCTTTCATTATAGTGCTATTACAATTGTTCTATTTTATCATTGGGTATTGCTGTTAACCTCTTACTGGGCTGAACTTGGAAATTAAACTTTATCATAGGTTTGTGTAAGGAGACTTCAAAAAATTGTGTGGAATAATTGAATTAAGAGATACATACATTTGTTTTCGTGTAGAATTTTTTTTAAAGATTTATTTTATTTATTTGAAAGACAGAGTTACAGAGAGAGGTAGAGACAGAGAGAGAGAGAGAGGTCTTCCATCCGCTGGTTCACTTCCCAGATGGCCGCAACAGCTGGAGCTGCGCTGATCCAAAGCCAGGAGCCAGGCGCTTCTTCTGGGTCTCCCAGTCAGGTGCAGGGGCCAGGGACTTGGACCATGTTCTACTGCTATCCCAGGCCAAAGTAGAGATCTAGATCGGAAGAGGAGCAGCCAGGACTAGAACCGGCTCCCATATGGGATGCTGGCACTGCAGGCTGGGGCTTTAACCCACTGGGCCACAGTGCCGGCCCAATGCAGAATTTTTTAACCCTTGCGTAGTTTTTCCATAATAGGCTTTTTCCGTGAACTTTCTGAAGCCTCTGTATGTATCAGGACAAGCTCAGTATACTCACAGGGTTGGGTACTACCTGCAGTCTCGGGCATGCGCAGAGGGTCTCGGAACATCTCCCTGTGGAGAAGGGGGAAGTGCTGGCTACGTTTATGTCCACTCTTCTCCCACCCTGGTAGGCAGCAGTCTCTGAACAGAGACTTGGTGCAAATCCTCTTCAACATAAACACCCTTCCCTCTCATGTATCAGTTTTATCCATGTCACTTTCCCGCTTGCTTTTCGAAGAGGATGCATTTCTAGAAAGCCTGTTTTGATTCCCAACTCATTCTCCAGGGCCGCCTGAGGATCTCGGTGACTAGGGAAAGTGAAAGCATTAAACTCTGTCTTCTTGTTGCCTCTTCCTTGCTGTTCTTCAGATCCCATACCTGGGCTTCTGCTCCTGTGAAGAATTAGGAGAAACTGGAATATGGCAGCTGACAGACCCACCCATCCTTCCTCTGACCCATGGACCAACTGGGGGCTTCAACTGGAGAGAGACCTTGCTACAAGAATAAACTACACGCGTGCATTGAGAGAAGAGGCCTTTGGAAGACGTGTGGTCTTGTGTCTTTAGTAACAATGGAAAACTCCACACTGCATTCTAGGCGAACAGCTCAGAGTGATTTAGCTTATTTCCTTTCATGCTTAAGGTTCCTAGGATGAGGCTGTGCAATTGCGAGAAAGACTTGATTCAGGGAAACAGAACGCATGCTCTCTGGACTCTTGCCTGGCTACCAAGGCTTTGGAGAGCTGTCCGCCTGCACTGGGGCTCCTGCTGCAGCAGGGCGTGTCGTCCTGCTTCTGTCTCTGCATGGAGTAGGAGCCTCACTGCCCCCACAGGGAGCTGGCGGCCCACTCTGTGGAGGGAAGCAAGGGGAGGGAGAGCATCCGAATCCAGCCGGGGGAACACTGAGGTGCACTTAGGGGACAGGATTTTCATTTGAACTCTAGTTTCCAGTTAGGCAAAGCCAAGCTGAGGAATGCTCTTAAGGTAATTAGCACCCACCCCCTGCAGAGCATCATCCTTCGGTTGCAAATTCAAGTTCTACCCTCAGTAGACCCCATAGAGCAGTTTTGCTGGCTCAAAACACCTGCTTGATGAGGCTCATGTTTACCCTGGTGCCACCACATCTCCTCCAGAGCAGCTGGCACTTCTTGCTACTGGCCTTTCCCACTTGCTTCTGTCTGTGAAATGGAGACAAAGCATTTGTGCTCTCCAAGGTACTTTGGACCCTCAGGAGGAAGATAAAATAAAGGTGTGAAGTATGCAATGGTAGGTGCAGAGAACTTACGAAATATGAAGGGACTTGGAATGACCTCCATTGTAGCCTAATCAGCTACAGCATCTCTAAAATCACCAAGATTTGCGTATCCGCACCCCTAGATGTAGACTATGTTACCTAGTTTAAGGATGCTGACATTTGGAAAAAATGGGTGTTTGAAGATGAATTTGGGTAAGCAAGAGGCTCATTCTGTGCAATATGGACATCGTTACCAACCTCATGTAGACTTACAGTACCTGTCCACCTTAACAGGATGTCGACAGGTGCATCAGTTGTACCAGAGATGGATAATAAAGTCAGGGAACTGATGTAAATGATGACAGGCATGACTGCGCTGGCTACCTGTGCTGTCGTCTTTGGTTTTCTATTAGTAATTTAAAACATATAGATAGGGCCCATTGAGGCAAGTTGGAGATCCACATCATGTGGTTTCTCAATACATCTGCTTCCTGCACTGAGAGGGAGTTCATATAAAAGAAAAATACATGACAATCAAGCCAAAAGATCAGTCCTCAACGTCTATTTAGTTACGTTCACTAGCCGGCTATTGATAGCCACCGACAAGGGTCTGCAATGGTTTAGTTCACTGTGTAGAGTATGTGTGCAAAGTGAAATCCCAGCCATGAAAAGGGAGCATTAGTTAGCGTAAAGCAAATCTATATATGTGTAGCAACACTGAATAAGTTTCAAAACCCAGACACATAAAACATAAGATCTATAAAAATAGATCCATGCTTGTATCTAAAACTGGAATTTGAGATGCCTGGAAAAAAAGAGGAAGTAAAACGATGCTGGCTGTATGTTAATCAGCAAAAGAAATACAGCCTTATTTCCTGAAAGTCACTTGGAGAAATATGAGGGTACTTCAAAAAGTTCATGGAAAATGGAGTTAAAAGATAAGTTGATTTGGTGCAAAAATTTTTTGAAATCCATGTGTATGAGGAATCTTCAAAATGCTCATGGAAGTGCATATAATTAAAAAAAAAACATGGATTTAATTAATTCCATTTTTTCCACAGTCTTTTTGAAGTACCCTTGTAGGTGTTGAATTTTACATTTTAAGAAACCAATCGCAATTTCTTCTAGCACTGCATAAACACTGATCCAGCTTCTGTGTGCAGAGTGCTGAGGTGCTAATATGTGCATTGCTGTTTTCACCTTAATATGGGGTGGGAGAGGAGGAATGGGGGAAAGTGCCACGGTGAAGCTCTTGAAGGTCACGTTGGATGGGTGTGTAATCAGCACACTCTAAGGCTTACTGGGCTCACCAGGAACCGTAGTGGTCTCTGCGTGCTACCAAAGAAATGCTTGAACGCATCACATCCGCTTTCCTTAAAACAGTAGCAGTGTGTTCTGGGCAGTGTGTGCACCCACATAAAATAGGGTGTCCTCCCCATCTCCCTCACTGTCTCGGCCCAGCAATGACCTGGTGCATCAGCCTCAGCCTAGTGTAGGCACAGCATGAGGCAGTGGTCTGTATGAACTAAAGGAGGCAGAGATCTGAAATAATCTGGATAACTCAGGTGGAAAATCCTGAGTACAAGAAAGAATTTATTCCTCTACTTTATTTACTCAAAGTGCTTATCAAAATGGCCCGGATGGTACACATCCACACTAAATTCTCATTGCCTATTAAAAAAAAAAACTGGACTCCAACTGAGAAAATCCTTGGGAAATCATGTATAGTAAAATCTACAGCTGTATTACCCGATTGCGCGTTCATCCAAAAATTCTACGTTGGAGTTAAATCTGAAGCTGAAGCTGTTTCTGTTTGAGCTACTGGGGGAAGAAGTGAGGAAGGAAAGGAAAGCAAACAAATGCCAGATAAAAAGAATCAAATGGGTTTTTTTGTACAGAGGAATTTTTCTCCAGAGGTAAAAAGTTATTTACAATACCAGGTGAAATGAAATTAACTAAAGGATTTAATCTGGGATTGAAAGTCTGGACCTGGTTCCTGCTCCTGCAGGTGTGCCGCAGCAAGCCGCTAAAGCCCCGGTATTATTCATAGATGGAGCTTTGTTTTCTGTGATTTTAAAATGCGGTATGGATTCCTCCACGGAGGAGAATAATTGGCACATTTTAATGCACACACTCGGGGTTTCATTTTCCCAGGCTCTCGTCACCATCTCTGCATTGGTAGTGAGGGGCCTGCTGCTTCACCCGGGAATGGAGTTCAGTTACAGTGTTTCCCATTACATTTAGATTCATAGAATCTGAACGGCTGATTAAATGGCCATCTGATGGCTGACTGACGGAGGGGGGCTATTTTTCACCCTGTCCTGAAAGGCTTGGGAGGAGTTTCTATTTTTTATTTTAATTATACTTTAACCAAAGAATTATTTTAAAGTAACCTTATATTTGAAAGATGATTTTGCAAAATGAATAAATCAATAAATCAATCTTCTGGAGTGACATCAGTTTGGTGACTCATTGTTGATCATGTCCTTGTTAGTGGTAGTTGGACCCCATGGAGGTTGTCTTCCCATTGTGCATGACATCACCATACATGTATCCTTTCCACTCAAGTAGCTGTATTCATATTAAAATGAAGCCTCTCATTTCAATTACCCACTGGGAACTAACTGAGCAGCTACAGGAAGAGAAGACCCTATCTCATGGCCTTTCTTGAAAAGCTTCCCAGGGTGGCAGAGGGAGGCACTCCCTAACCCAGGCACCCCGCGAAGCTGGTGTTTAAAAGCAGTGATGAATTGCTCTTTTGAATGCACTCTAAGTAAAGCCCGTGTTAGAATACAGATGAACCTCCCTTCAATTTTCACAGGGACCAGCACAGTCCACTGTACTGAATCGGCACGAATTTAGATAATGAGGTACAGGGTTATTTGCATTTAAATTGTAATCCAGCACACGTGTGAGAAAGCAGAGGCGCTAGGCTAACGAGGCGGCCTCGAGGAGGGATGGGACTGGAGGAGGAAGAGGGTGGGGCAGAGAGGGATTTCGCATCTATTTAGGTTAATGTTCGCTTTGCAAAGGCGATGGGAGACATTTTGTTAGGTGATGGTGGATGCTTTTCCTTTTTAAACATAGGATTACAATTGGATTTGCTTCTCTTTAATTCTTCAACATACTGAATTTCCCTAAGAAAATGACAGCTATAATGAAAATTCCAGGGGAGCGGGGAAAAGATTGCTTCTAAATGAAGAGGAAATATCTTGGTTTTTAAGTACATGTAATTCTAGGTTTGTTGTATGTAGGTTTAAAATTATAGTGATGAGTAGTCAAACTTAATAGACAATCAGTTCTTACAAACATTTTACATGGTACCACTTAGCTGCCATTATCCGCACAAAAAATCAGAATTTTGCAGCTGTTCAGCTGTCCGTGGACTTGTGCAGACTGCGTATGAAATGTCTAATGGGAAACGTGCAAGGTTCTTTCTTTGACTGCCGCTCAAGATGGAAACAGAATCCCAAAGCATTTTGGTTATGCATAGAACCATTTTAAACCCGCCGTTTGGGAGAGTCATGTTGGTTTCTTTTTCATTTATAAAGCTATTGTATGATTTTTTTTCTATGTGATTCAGGTGTATTTATTTGAAAACAGGTTTGTAACTATAAAAAAGAAAACCACACCTACCTGTATTGCCAAACTCCTTGTAAATGTGTGCCCTCCTGGACGAGACCTCTCCCCTCTTGATACAGCTATGGCACCATTGTAATTAGTTCATTCCATTCCAGGAGCACCTCCGTTTAAATGGCTCATGGATGATTTAATAAAGAGAAACCGTGTCCTCAGTCAATCCAGAGTGCTCTCATATTACATTCTGAGTGGTCTCTATTCCCATCATGCTTTCAGATGTTACTGTGGTCATTATTACTTCCAAAATGGCCATTAAGAGTGCGATTCTTCTCCCAAAGGGCAGTGGGGCACTTGCCACCGATGGAAGCCGATGGACCCTGTGCTTCCCTCAGGTCAGGCTTCAAGCTTCCGATCACCCAGACTGGGAGGTGAAAACCCACCCAGGAGTGAAAAAGCAAACATCAGAGAACTTTCACTGCCCCATGTGCAAACACAAAGTATCTTTCCTTATACCGCCCTAGGTGCCTCGGGGCAACTCCTGCAACAAGGGGCAGAGTAAGAGAAAAACATATAATGTGTTTCAGTTTTACAGACATGGGAGCTTTCATAGGACGTGGAGGTCCAATCAGAGAGGAGAGCAGACCTGAGAGTGATGCCAGGTGTGGAGAGATGAAGGAGCAAGGGATATGAGCTTACAGGAGAAAACTGGAGAAAATTCAGCAAAGCCTGTTGGTTCCAATTCTCCTCTGAGCCCCTTCATCTTCAAAGATAAGGGTGTTCTGTTCTGGGTACAGGGAGGGCACCTCTCACATGAGGGTCTTCCAATCTGCTCCAAGGGGAGGCCAGAGTCCTTCCTCTGTAGGATTGATGGCCTACTTCAGGGAAGGAGGACAGGAGGCCAGGGCGAGCTTCTTAATTCTGTCATTTTCTCAGGTTCCTTCAGGCTAAAAAGCTCCAGATGCCAAGGTACCATATTCTGGGGTGGAAGGGCCTGAGCCTATTGGAGCTTTCCCCCCTCACCACTGCAGAGAGGGCAAGCCCAGCTCAATACAGTGCACACACATCACTATAAACCCACACACCCCACAGTAAAGATGGATTCACTTTCATTTTATTGGAAAGGCAGAGAGAGACAGAGTGACAGACACTTCCATCTTCACTCCTCAGATGACTGCAGCAGCCGCAGCTGGGCCAGGCCGAAGCCTGGAGTCAGGAGCTCCATCCAGATCCCCCTTATGGATGACAAGGACTGAAGTACGTGAGCCACCATCTGCTACCTCCCAAGGTGCTCGCTAGCAGGAAGCAGGAGCCAGAACTGAACCAGGCATTCTGATATGGGATGCAGATGTCTCAAGCAACAACTTAACTGCTGTGCCAAACGCCCACCCCATACACCTCATTTTTAAACGTGATTATATGTTAAGCTAATAAGATTTTAAAATAAGGGCTCAGCATTGTGGTGCACCAGCCTACCACATGGGGATCGGGTTGAGTCCTGACAGTTCTACTTCCGATCCAGCTCCCTGCTAACGCACCCAGGAAAGCAGCGGAAGATGGCCCAAGTGCTGGGCCTCCTGTTACCAAGTGGGAGATCTAGGCGAAGCTCCTGGCTCTTGGCTTTGGCCTGGCCAAGCCCTGGCTGTTGTATCCATTTAGGGAGTGAACCAGTGGATGGAAGACCTCTCTGTCTCCCTCTCTCTCTCTGTAACTCTCTCTGCAATGATAAATAAATTGTTTTGAAAAAAAAAAAAAAAGGATTTTAAAGTAAGCCTGCAATGCAAATCCGTGTCCAGGATGTGCGAGCAGACTTTCACTGACACAGTCGTCTCTTGCCCTGGTGGGGTTGACTCCCGAGGACACGTCACAGCCCCTGCTCGTGTGACGCAGGTCACGCTACGTGTAGCCTTCTGACTGGTTCTGTGCTCTGCCTCATACATTCCCAAGCTCAGCTGCCCTTTTGTGATGCGTGCAAGGGCTGCCTGCACAACCAGAGAAAATGAAATCTGTGTACTTTGGATTTACTGATGCTTAAATCAGCAAAATGCCTTGTGTGGTGTTTGGTTTTCTTTTGAAAGTCGAAGACTTAAAAAAACAATCTCCTCCTATAAAAGAACATTCCATTTTTCCAGAAAAAAAGTAGTGAAATCCACAGGACTTGCTCTTCACCATGAAAAGGTGTCATGGACCACTTGAATTATTGGTTTCCATTGTGTCTGGGGCAATTAAGTAGGTCTGTGTCGCTCCGGAGAACAGCCCCACACGAAGCCCCATTTCCAGTTGCCAGATAGAGCTGGGTTGGAACTTGGTTTAGCTACTGTTTAGAACCCTGAAGCTCATTCCACCTGTAAAATGGGCACCATAATGTTTTTTTGCCAGCATGGCTGTGCCAATCAAATAGGACAATGAATATAAAATTCCTATTACTACACACAATAATACATGACAATAAAAGGATGACAGATTTGGCTACAACCAGGACACAATCTCACATCTAGTCATTCCACTGTCTGGGGAATTTCAAGGGCAAGAAATCAAGATGACCTCATTTATACAGGAGTCACCTTACTCTTCTCCCCATCAGTCACCTGTAATAAGAGGAGGAGGCAAAAGAGAGGGTACTGGATGAGTTCTGTGGTTTGTCTAGGAGTCTGTCCTAATGACAGACATATTCTCAGGGCCAGCACTGTGGTGTAGTGGATAAAGCCACTGCCTGTAATGCCAGCATCCCATATGGGCGCCAGTTCATGTCCCGGTTACTCCACTTCCTATCCAGCTCCCTGATAATCCAGTTGGAAAAGCATTGGAAGATGGCCCAAGTGCTTGGGCTCTTGCCAGCCACATGGGAGACCTGGAAGAAGCTCCTGGCTCTTGGCTTCAGCCTGACCCAGTGCTGGCTGTTGCAGTCATCTGGGGAGTGAACCAGTGGATGAAAGATTCTCTCTGTCTCTTCCTCTCTCTGTGTAACTCTGACTTTCAAAATAAATAAGTAGGGGCCAGCGCTGTGGTGCAGCATGTAAAGCTGCTGGCTGCAGCACCAGCATCCCATATGGGCTCCAGTTCAAGTCCAGCTACTCTTCTTCCTATCCAGCTCTCTGCTAACACAGCTGGGAAAGCAGCAGAAGATGGCTCAAATTCTTGGGCTCCTGTACCCAAATAGGAGATCCAGAAGAAGCTCCTGGCTCTTGGCTTTGGCTTGGGCCAGCCCCAGCCACTGCGGCCATTTGGAGAGTGGACCAGATAGAAGCACCCTCTCTTTCTTTCTCTCTCTGTCTCTCTACCTATGTAACTCTGCTTTTAAGTAAATTAATAAATCTTTTTAAAACTAAATGAATTTTTAAATTCTTTAAAAAGATTCCCATTTGACCCTCACAGCAACTTTACAAGGCAAGGAGATCAGGTGTTATTAACTCATTGTCTGAAAGAAACTGAAATACTGAAGTCATGGATTTATTCGTCATTCTACCATATTTATTGGACATCCTGTCTCTAGCAGGGGGACAGGCTGGAGCCACGGTGACAGAGAAAACAGCTGGGCCTCTGCGCTCATGGAGTAAGGAGACAGACCAAGAGTACTTGCATAGACAAGACAATCATGACTGTGAGAGAAGCCATTTAGGAAATAACGTGGGCACCGCGGCAGAGAGAAACCTCAGGAGGGACAAGAGCGGGGGCTCTTATCTTAGGTAGGATGCTCAGACAGGAGGCCCTGAGCAGATGACCACACGGGAGCTGCTTTCAGTGAATAAGCAAGGGGGTGTCAGGAAGCCAGAGTGATTAGTGATTCAGCATCCCCCAGGTGGAAAGAACCGAGTGGGTTCCAGCAGAGGAGGCCGGAGAACTGACATTAGGCTTGCCAGGAAGTGGAGGGGGTGGGCAGACCCGCGGCCGCGGTGAACACAAGCCCCTCGTGCCTTTGATGCTGGTGCTAGGCACCCTCAATCCTACTCCCCCCCTCCCCAGCCTCTCAGTCTCTTTAGCCGAAAGGTTCTTTGCACATCCATCTCTTACTAAGATTCACTCTCTAAATGGAGGGAGCGGTGCAGCCAGCCCCACAGGATCCATGGTCCCAAGGTTCGTGAGGTCGCTTCTGTCCACTGTAGGTGACACCTTGATGTTGGTCTGATACTGAGGATTTTTCCAGGAAACCCAGGCCCTGAACAAGCAGGAACCACCACCTGAAGCACCGAGGTCCACTTGGCCATCACCCGAATTCCGAGAGAGCCCACAGTGCTAGCCAGCTGTCCCTTTGCTTTTCCAGGCACTCCTCCCCTAGTGTGGCTCCAGACCTGAAGTCTGCGGCTTTATGAAGGCTTTTTGTTTTTCTTAAATATTTATTTATTTATTTGAGAGGCAGAGGCAGAGAGAGAGAGAAAGTCTTCCATCTGCTGGTTCACTCCCCAAATGGCAGCAACAGTTGGAGCTGCGCCGATCCGAAGCCAAGAGCCAGGAGCTTCCTTCAGGTCTCTCACGCGGGTGAGGAGCCCAAGGACTTGGGCCATCTTCTACTGCTTTCCCAGACCATAGCAGAGAGCTGGATCGAAAATGGAGCAGCCGGGACTCAAACCAGTGCCCATATGGGATGCCAGCCCTGCAGGCGGCAGCTTTACTTACTGCGCCACAGCGCTGGGCCCAAAGCCTTATTTCTTCTCCTATTTGCTGCTGGTTCCCAGGCTGCAGCCTCAGAAGTCCAGAAAAACCTCTCCTGGTAGTACCAGCTTTCCTGGTTGGCATCCCATATGGGCGCCGGTTCAAGTCCTGGCTGCTCCACCTCCGATCCAGCTCTCCACCTCCGATCCTGCACCCACATGGAAGACCTGGAAGAAGCTTCTGGTTTCTGGCTTTGGATCGGCGCAGCTCCAGTTGTTGCAGCCAATTGGGGAATGAACCAGTGGATGGAAGACCTGTCTCTCTCTCTCTTTCTTTTTCTTTCTCTCTCTCTCTCCCTCTCCTCTCTCTCTCTCTCTGTAACTCTGACTTTCAAATAAATAAATATTAATAAAACAAAATAGAACTCAGAGGGCTTCCATAGCCTTGGAAACTCATGACTGGAGCATAGGGAGATTACTGATGCCATAGACAGGAGTGTCAATTGGTAAAGTCAACAACAGGAGTCACTGTGCACTTACTCCTCATGTAGGATCTCTATCCTTAATGTGCTCTGCTCTGATTTCATCATCATTTAAAAAAATCATCTATTATTTTTCACTTTATGTTTCTGTG